GCCCCGGGAGTTGACACGGTGTCGGGCAAGCCCAGGGTCACTGGGGGAGGCCATTTAACTGGGGACAGAGTATTCGGGCGCCTATGTGTCACCACGAAGGGGGGGCGTTAGTCACGGAAGATCTAGCACAGCCCGGTCCCCAGGATGCTGGGAGCCCCCTCCTCGCATATCTCAGCTGGGGACCCTCCTGTCATTGTCCTCAGCTATGAATAGGTGTCCCAACCCTTCTAACTCCATCAGGGCTTCGCAGATTACCCCAGTGACTCAACCTAGTGCCCTCGACAAACATGTGTCCATCTTCTACTCCACATATTTTCCCTGGCCCAGTGTACCCCAGGACCCGCATCACTTTCTGCATATCTAAATCCCCCCACCTTCATTCCCTCCCCACTTAGGGAGGGCTCTCAGACTCTCCCATGGATACCAGCATCCCTACTCATTTCTTGTATAATAGGTCCTCCAGCTCCTCCCCTTGCACCCTTTTTAATCTTTCCCTTTCTCAATTTTTCTAAGTCCCTCCTGTGAAAATTCTGGAAACCCCCCCCCCCAATTCAACGCCTGTGCCAGGCGTCTCCCTACCCCTTCCCATTTACCCGTTTTAGCCCTCCCTCCCTTGTTTTTTGGGGGCTCCCAGGGTATTCTCAGCCTCCCAACTCCTCTCGAATACTTCGGGTCCATCAGGCCTGTCGCGTACACCCTGGGACCCCCCGAACCCCCCCCCCCATACACACAAACAGATACACACTTCCTCTGTACCCGGTCCTCCTTTTCCGCCGGTGTACTCCAAGGGAGACATCGCTCCTCCTCAGCCCCTCCCCCAGGTGCCTCGTGCCCCTCAGCAGCTCCTTTCTCGCAAACTCCGGGGTCCCCCAGCCCCTCCCCTGCAGCCGCGCCGCGCCACCAGGCCCGTGGCCGCTGTTTACAAGGACACGCGCTTCCTGACAGTGACGCGAGCCGCCTCCTCCCCTTCCCCACGCTCGAAGAGGGGGGCGCGGGGGCCGGGCTCGGGTGACCGCCAATCCGAGCGTACTTCCGCAGCTGACAGCCGATATAAAGACCAGAGGCTCGGATGAGCGGCTGGAACCTTGATCGCTGCCAGGACAACATCGGAGTCTGCAGGGAACTGGGAGCAGGGGCAAACGACGCCGAGAAGGCGAGCGCACTACAGAGGGCGAGAAGAATACGGGAAGCCGGGTAGAGCTTTCGCGTACAGCCGCCGGCTGGCCGCCCCCCGCCCGAACCAGTCGCCAGGATCGCGCGTTCCGACACCCAGTCCGGTCATCGCCGCGGACAGCGCGCCGCTCGCTGCAGCGAGGCCCGGGGCGGCCCTGCAGGGACCCCCCCTCCCCCAAGCCCGCCGGGCCGCCCGGATGTGCACTAAAATGGAACAGCCCTTCTACCACGACGACTCATACGCAGCAGCTGGCTACGGCCGGGCCCCCGGCGGCCTCTCTCTACACGACTACAAACTCCTGAAACCGAGCCTGGCGCTCAACCTGGCCGATCCCTACCGAGGCCTTAAAGCGACTGCCGCGCGGGGCCCCGGACCGGAGGGCAGCGGAGGCAGCAGCTACTTTTCCGGCCAGGGCTCGGACACGGGCGCGTCGCTCAAGCTCGCCTCGTCGGAGCTAGAGCGCCTGATCGTCCCCAACAGCAACGGCGTGATCACGACGACGCCCACGCCACCGGGACAGTACTTTTACCCCCGTGGGGGTGGCAGCGGTGGAGGTGCGGGGGGTGCAGGGGGAGGCGTCACCGAGGAACAGGAGGGCTTCGCCGACGGTTTTGTCAAAGCTCTGGACGACCTGCACAAGATGAACCACGTGACGCCCCCCAACGTGTCCCTGGGAGCCAGCGGGGGTCCTCCGGCCGGGCCCGGCGGCGTCTACGCCGGTCCGGAGCCCCCTCCGGTCTACACCAACCTCAGCAGCTTCTCCCCGGCCTCTGCAACCTCCGGAGGCTCCGGGGCCGCCGTCGGGACCGGGAGTTCGTACCCGACGGCCACCATCAGCTACCTCCCACACGCGCCGCCCTTTGCCGGCGGCCACCCTGCGCAGCTGGGCCTGGGCCGCGGCGGCGCCTCTACTTTCAAAGAGGAACCACAGACGGTGCCCGAGGCGCGCAGCCGCGACGCCACGCCGCCGGTGTCTCCCATCAACATGGAAGACCAGGAGCGCATCAAAGTGGAGCGCAAGCGGCTGAGGAACCGTCTGGCGGCCACCAAGTGCCGGAAGCGGAAGCTGGAGCGCATCGCGCGCCTGGAGGACAAGGTGAAGACACTCAAGGCCGAGAACGCAGGGCTGTCGAACACGGCCGGCCTCCTCCGGGAGCAGGTGGCCCAGCTCAAACAGAAGGTCATGACCCACGTCAGCAACGGCTGCCAGCTGCTGCTCGGGGTCAAAGGACATGCCTTCTGAGCGCCTCCCCCCAGCGTACGGACACCCCTCCAGCCTGGACGGCTGGACGCACGCCTCCCAGGGGGCGAGGAGGCAGGCGATGGACACTGGCCCCGGGGCCTAGGGGCGCCACAAACCACACTGGACTCCGGCCTACCGGCTCTCGCCCAATCCTTCCACCTCGATGTTTACAAGCTCCCTCTTCCACGTTTTTGTATGTTTTTTTTTTTTCTCTGCTGGAAACAGACTCGATTCATATTGAATATAATATATTTGTGTATTTAACAGGGAGGGGAGGAGGGGGCGATCGCGGCGGAGCTGGCCCCGCCGCCCGGTACTCAAGCCCGCGGGGACACTGGGGAGGGGACCCCCGCCCCCAGCCCTCCCCCCTCTGCACCGTACTGTGGAGAAGAAACACGCACTTGGTCTCTAAAGAGTTTATTTTAAGATGTGTTTGTGTGTGTGTGTGCGTTTGTTGTTCTGACTTTTTATTGAATTTATTTAAGTAAAAAAAAAATGGTTCTTTATTAATTTCTGGAGTCTTTTTTTCCAAGCCAGGAGGGCGGAGGGAGGAAAGTACTGGGCTGCCCTCACCCCACTACTGTTCGGGGCTCACTCCAGTACCTATATTCCCGTCTCCAGTCCTGTCCAGGCATCTTGGTGCCCCAGTCCGGGGGTCCAGCCCTCATTCCCTGAGTCCCCTGGTCCCCGGGGGGAGGTCCGGGACGCGGGCAGGATCCCTGGGGCGAGACGCGGAGTGCGCAGACGCGGCCCCGCCCAGCCGCGCACGCCGGGGCTTTCCCCGCTGACGCAGCGGAAGTGCTTCCCATACATGGACCGATTCTGCCTAGTGACGCGCTGGCGGTCTCCGGGCAGATTCCGGGAATCCCCTCCCCCGCTCTGCCGGGCAGGGCAGCGGCGCCGGGAAGGGGGCCGGGATTTTCCCGGGCAGGCGTCGGCCTGGCCTGGAAAGCCCCAGGCCTGGGTCCAGAGCGCCCGCGGTGGGCGGGCCGCGCTCCTGGGCCCCGGGAACCACCCCCAGACTCCTCCATTAGGCTGGCGCCGGGGCTTCGTCGCGTCCACGCCCCCTCAGTCTGACCTGACCCAGGCGGGGGTGCTGCAGCCTCCGTGTGGTTGCCGCCGCCGTCCTCCACCCCACCCCCGCCAGGAAGGGCGGTGCCCGCCTGCCAGTTTCCCCTCCCGGGTGCCAGGCCGGGAGCGGGGCGACTGCCAGGTCTGGTCCTGCCGGGGCAGCTGCTTGGGCCGCCGGGCATCGCCACCGCCCTCGCACGGAGCTCCCACCCCCGCTGCTGGGACGGGTGGGGGGCGGCTGCGGCAACGGCTGGAAGCCTTCAGAGCAGCAGAGAAAAACACAGACCGAGAGAGCAGGCCATAGGGGTGGGGTGGGTAGAACAGGCACTTCATGAATTCATTTATAAAACACTGAACAACCAGATTCTGGAGACACAACCTGGACCACGGCAGACAGGCAATAAACGTTATTCTGTGATAGCGGTAAGTGCTAGGAAGAACAAACAACAGATCCAGGTCTTGGTGATGGGGCCAGTACATCGGGAGGGTGGACCTTTAGTGAGGCAACTTTTCAGCAGATTTGAAGGAGGTGGCCCTGAGAAAATCCCGGGAAGACTGTGCTAGGCAGAGGGAACAGCGCTTTCTAAGTTCCTGTGGCCAGAACAAGATCAGCCTGTAAAGAAGCTCAAGGGTGGCTGGAACTGAGCAAGCCACAGGATGGATAGATGAGGTCAGGGAAGGCCACTCAGGGCCTCATAGGCCTTGGGGAGGAGTGTAGATTAAATTCCGAGGGACATGAGTGACGCTTGGAGGGGATTAGGCTGGGAAGCAATATTAATAGTGGGTCTGTGGGTTAAATGAGTATATCAGCCTTGTTCTGTGGAAGGAAATTGGGTCTCAGAGTGGCAAAGTCACTTGTCTGAACCTACACAGCATCAAACTGTGCAGTAGTGTGGTAACCACTGGGAACACTGCCTTGCTCCTAACACCTGCCTTTTGCCTAACACCCTTCCACCCTTCACCCTGTCACCCTTGCCAAGGGTAGACAGGCAGCCCTTCCAGGCTGGAGTAGAGCAGAGCCCGCAGCAGGGGCTGTGCATATAGCTCAGGACTGGGCTCTGTCCTGCCCAAGGCAACCATCCTAGTAACCATTAACTGAACCTCAAGCAGGAACCCAACCCTGGGCTTCACATACTTTATCTCCTTTAACTTGTGTAGTGATATGGTTTGATTGTCTTTATTCCCAATCACTGATGAGGAAACCCAGGGAAGATCACAGCTATTAAAGGACATTTGAACTCAGATTGGATTATGGCAAGGTATGGGCTCTGCCTTGCAAGGCCAAGTTTCAAGATGTAGAACATCTTGAGACTACTCTTTGCAAGGGGCAAACAGAGCCCCCTCCTGCCTGCAAACCCCTCTCAGGTCAAGGAGAAAGAGGGAGGAGAGTTAACAGTAAGGATGGGGTAAGGCTGCCACCTTGTGGTAGAGAGAAGTAACTTCAGGGTCAGTTTCCCAGATCAGAGCCCAGAGAAGGTACACGGGGGTGGAGGGCATTGCCAGGACAGACCACACCGACACAGATTCGCACCTGTTCCTAATAATTTATTGGCCATCTTAGGCCTGTGCTCCAATTGGTGAGCTCCATGGAGGGGGGGGGTCACCATTCATTAGCTTCCAGGTGGGGGCATGAGAGGGCCTTAGCCCGGCCCTCCAGGGTCCCAGATTGAGGAGTGTTAAGGGGGCAGGTCTGGCCTTTCCTGGATCAGCATGGGGCACCCAGGCAGGGGCACAGGTGGGGACAGAGGGCGCAAACTTGTCCTCTGCCTGCTAGTCTAGTTGTGTTTAGAGAAGTATTCCTTGCTGTCATCCACGTTGGGCTTGATTGTGTCGCTGCCCGGCTTCCAGCCAGCGGGACATACTGTGGGAAGACATAGGGATGCACATGTGAGCCCCATGTTCAAGGCAGGACAGTAGTAGGGGACCAACAGAGACAAAACAAGAGCCTGAGTTGCAGAAGAAAAACTCTGGGCCTAGTGGTTCAGGCCCAAGAATATGCACGTTGAGAGAAGCCCTCCATTCAATCACCATTCTGTTGTCTGTGTTTATCCCCACAGGCCCAGCTGCAGTATTTTCTGGCTGATAATTTTCCTGCTTTTATCCTCAGTTTCTTGTTAGGCCCTTCAACCCAATCTCAGTCCCTCAGCCTAGCCCTGCTTGACTTTGAGAGTCTATGGCCAGACTATCCCTTCCACATGAGAAGGTTCTCTGACCCAGCTAACAGTATTCAAGCCTGACTCGGCATGCACTTCCTCAAATACTTTCTTTGGCTCGTATTACCTCCCAGCTCCCCATCCTTGTACTGTATTGGGGTATCTCTCCCACCAGATGAGGCATTTCCTGAAGACCAGGCCCTGAGCTGAATTGTCCATGGGACCCTAACATCTCCCTGCTCAGGTGGCAGGGCAGGCAGTAAATGTTTGCATGAGTGACAGTGGGGTTGTGTGTGAACGACTCACCTTCTCCATGCTCATCCGTATACTGGAAGGCCTGGACCAGCCGCAGAGCCTCATCCACAGAGCGCCCCACAGGCAAGTCATTGACCGTGATCTGACGAAGGACACCTTTGCCATCGATGATGAAGAGGCCCCTGAAGACATCAAGGCTCACTGTAAGGAGCTGGGAACTCCCAGGACCAGAACAGAGAGCACCTACCTTTTGCCAGCCACACAGCTGGGAGCAGAGAGGGCGTCGCCCAAGCATGGTTCCCTCACCCTGGGGATGAGTCTCCCAGAGCCCGACTGAGGGCCCCACAGTACCTGTAAGCAATGCCCTCATCTTCCTTCAGCACACCATAATCATGGGACAAGCTTCTGGTCACATCGGCCAGCAGGGGGATGTTCAGGGGGCCCAAGCCTCCTTCCTTTCGGGGAGTGTTGATCCTGGGGGTTGGGAAGACAGGACTAGGATCTCAGGAAGCCCGACACAGCAGGGCCCTCACCCTTTGTGCCCGAGTAAGATAAGGACTGGAGGGGGGCCCCTGGGGGTGGAAGATAAGAGGCTTTAGAGCCGAGAACTGGGAGCCCCACCCACCCCACCCTGTAGTGGGTGCAGGGGCTGTTTCTGGTGGCTGGGAAGACTAAAGCCCAGAGACTGGCACTCGAGCTGCAGGGGAGCGCCTTCACACATGCTTCTGACTTCCAGCGTGAGGCAGGGAACATGTGCTAGAATCCCGGCGCTGCTCTCTAGCCCTGTAACCTGGGGCCCCGCCCTTTACTCCTTTGAACTGGAGTTTCCACCTTCGTGGAATGCGGCAATACAGCCTCCCTCCCAAAAACTAAGTGAGATAAAGCATCTGCAACTCTTGGCGCCAAGCAACTAGTTTCCTAATGCTAATTACTGTCATCAGGGTTAGGAACTGGATGGCGTCATTATTTCCATTATTTTCAGGATGAGGAATGGGAGGCCCAGAGGTTGAGCAATGGTCACACAGCTCGGGCCCTAAGGTGTGGGCCTAGCTGCACACCACCCTCCTCCCGTCCCCCATCATACCAAGCCAGGTGGGTGAACTGAGAGTCCACAGAGACCCCCAGCACCTCGCAGCCCAGCTTGCGGAAGTCTTCGGCATGCTCGCTGAAAGCAATGATCTCGGTGGGACACACAAAGGTGAAGTCCAGCGGGTAAAAAAAGAGCACCACGTACTTCCCTGGGTGGGGAGGGGTAAACGAGGAGTTAGGGCCCAGACACTCTTATGCCTAGGCCCCATTCCCTGGGCACCCTCCAGGCCGCTCTCACCTCTGTAGTCAGAAAGCTTCACCTCCTTGAAGGCGCCATCCACCACTGCAGTGGCCTGGAAGTCGGGGGCGGGCTTTCCGATGTGCGCGTTGCCGGAGGCCATGACTGAAAGCTGAGACCCCGACCTGGTCAGCGCGCCCAGCAAGGCCTTTTGTCTTCCCTTCCCAAGGTCATGCTGCGTGTGGGGCCCCGTTAGGGCGGCGCAGGCAGCAGCACCGACCTCCACCCTCCCTGGTACCGGATCTACGCGACACTGAGGCTGCAGGGACCCACCCACTGACAAGAGCACTAGCGGCCGGGCCGCTGCTGCCTGGCCCCCTTAGCGCGCCCGCCGGAGCGCGGTGGCGCAAGCCCCCAGTCCTGGAAGGAGACAACGAAGCCCCCGCGAGCAGGGGGTGGGGAGCCTGGCAATCAGGCCTGTACTCCAAGGCTCCGGCCTCGGTTTCCCCCTCAAGGACAAAGGCGGCCACGGCGGCGGGAGGAAAACAAAGGCGGCCAGCGATAAGGGCCGGATAGGGCCGGAGCTGCTCGAAAGGGGCTTCCCCCAGCCGGGTGCACACCTGCTGTCTATACCTGCGTGGTCTAGGGCCGAACGCACAGACAACCACACCCGCAGACTCTCGTTCTCAGCGTCACGAGCGCCCTAGGCCACGGAGCCTTTTATGCACCGCCCGAACCGTGACGCGCAAGGCGCAGGAGGTGGGGGGAGCGGAGGAGCGGAGCGGTCGGGTCCACTGCACCGGGAGAAGAGGGGAGCGCAACTCGTCAAATTTACGCACCTGCGGGCGGTAGGGGAAACGCACAGCCGCCGACCGTGACTACCGCGCCGGCCCGCGAGGGTAGTGCGGGAGCTGCGGACCCGCGCGATGCTAGGCCCGGGAGCACGCGGTGGGCGGTTGGAGTCTGGCATGGCCCGGAGCCCGGCGGCGCTGCTGCTGCTGCCTCTGATGCTCCCGCTGCTGGCGACGCCTGTCCAGGTCTCCTCCGACTACCAGTACTTTGGCGAGCAGGGCGAAGGCGACACTTGGGAGCAGCTACGGCGGCTGCAGCAGCAGAAAGGTAACCGCAGGCGGCGGGGGTGACGGTGCCGAATGGTGCCCCCATGACCCTACTCTGCCAGCTGGCTGCAAGCATACCTCCTCCCACGGACTCTAGATCCCTGCCTTACTCCTCCCTGGCGGTCTTCCCTTGGGCTGGTTACTTTTCTCTGAGACTCAATTTTCCTGTCTGTAAATTGGAAAAGAGATTGCTTTTAAGCAGCTCACAACTGGAGAGGGGGCTTGGGCAGGCAATAAGCACAGAAGCAGACACATCCATAAATTCATGGGTAGGTGCTAGGAAGAGCAGAGATAGAAAAAGAAGGAGGCTGGTAAGCTTGGGAAGTCAGAGAAGGCCCCGGTGAAAAAGATATATAACCAATGCAGCCGGAATGACAAGCAAACGCCAAAAATGCAAGGATTAGGGGGAAAGAATGTGCCGGGAAAGGAGAACATTAAGTACAAAGGCCAACAGACCTAAGGGAGGAATGGAAAGAGGCCAGTGTGGTGGAGGCTTGGTGAGGAGAGAGTTGTAGGGGATGTATCAAGACCTTGTGAGTGGTGGAATCAGGATAAGACCTGTCTCATAGAGGCTTAGGGAAGAATCAGCAAAAGAGCTCTCATAAAGGATATCCAGTAAGTGCTCAGTAAGTGGTAGATACTTTAAAAGTGATAATCAGAATTGTTTTTGTTCTATATGCTAGCACAGTGCCAGGGACTTTAAGTATCTTCATTATGTTGTTTAATTTACCACCTGACAGCCCTGCTGGTCTGGTGGCATGGTGCCGACTGAATAGGCCAAGCGCACGCCCCTGAAGGCCAGAGTCAGCTTCTGATGACAAGCACTGAGGGTGGTGTACCACACTCCCAACTGGCCAGGTTGCTGCAGGTGGGAAGTGTCAGTTTGTATCTCACTGGACCACTCATCAGATGTGTCAGCTCAGAAGGGTGGCTTGCTCTCTCTAGGTCTCAGTGTCTTCACCTGGCTTGTGGCTAGACCAGGGCATAGGGGGAATTTTCCCCTTTACCTGGGTCTTCATCTCAGCCCTTCACCCCTAGACGTGGAGGACTCGATCCTGAGCCCGTGGGGAAAGTGGCGCTGTCTCTGCGACCTGGGGAGGGAGGAGCGCAGCCGCGAGGTGCAGGGCACAGCGCCAGGCCCGGTGTTTATGGACAGCGAGAACCTGGTGCAGGTGCGGCCCTGGCGGCAACAGGATTGTCCATCCTGCAAGCTGATCGAGTGCAACTGGAGGCCCTGAGCCCAGGTGAGAGACGGGCGCAGAGGGGGCGGGGCCTAGCCGGCTGTCAAGTTCAGGGGCCTGAGTTGCAGGGGTGGGGCTCGGAAAACGGAAGAAGGGCTGCGTGGGGTGGGAACCCAAAGTCAGCGGGATTGACCCTGGTGGGGGACGAAGACCCACGGGCAGAGGCCAGGAGCTCCACTGACACCGGGGAGTAAAGAAGAAAGGCAGGAGGGGACAGGAATGGGGGAGACAGAGGGGTGAACTGGGACCTTGAGTAAGGGACGTTAGCCTGGTGAAGCGCCGTGACTCACAGACCGCGGACGACAGCCCCGCTGAAACCTGGGGATAGAGGGAGAGAAGCGGTAAGGGTCAGACAGGACTGGGAGAAGTGGGCCTCACTGAGATTGGGGGAAAGAGGGAGAAGAGCTGTGGCGGGCTAGGGGAAGGGGAGGGCATGAACCTTGAGTTGGGGGAATGAGCCTGCTTGATGAGTGGAAACCCTGAGCCCGAGACTGTAACCTTTTGGGGTCTGGGGTCCCAATTCGGGGGTGGAGGAGGCTCAGCCCGAGTGAGAAAGGGTGGGAGGTAGGGACGCTGCGGGGGTCAGGGATCCCGATTCCGAGTGAGCGACCAAGACAGGGAAGGTGGGGACCCCAAGGATAACGGCCTGAGGTCGGGTAGGAGCGGGGGTACCTAGTTCAGGGAGTTTAGACTGTGTGGGGGCCACGAATCCTGAGTACAAGGGCCTGAATGCAAGTGGGGGACCCAGATCCAGTGATGCGGAGACCCGTGTTTTGAGTGCGTAGTTATATTTGACCGTCTAGACCCCTACACGGCTGGGTCCTCCCTGTCCTGCCTCAGTTTCTCCTTTTATTTCCCTTTCCTTCCACTAGTTCCTGTGGGCGGGGGTCCGGAGCCGGCCCAAGGGAGTTTGGATAGCGGCCAGGTTTACCGTGTTCCTCACCAGAGGCGCTGGTCTGTCGATTTTGAGAACTACAACTCCCAGGAAGCTGCGCGGCAGCGACGACGGCTGCGCGAACGTCAGCTGCTTCGGGGGCGTGTCTTGCGCGCCGATTGGTCAGGAGCCAGCGCCGACGCTGAGCCCGCGTCAAGTCCTGCGCTTGCAGCCCTGGTTCCTGCTGATGGTGGCGGCGGCCGAGGTGGCGGCGGAAGCGGCGGCATGGATCTCAGCGAGCTGGAAAGAGACAATACGGACCGCTGTCGCCTGAGCTCGCCTGTGCCCGCGGTGTGCCGCAAGGAGCCCTGCGTCCTGGGCGTGGATGAGGCGGGCCGTGGCCCTGTGCTGGGTGCGCCCCAAGGGCCAGGGGTGGTGGAGGGGCGTGATAATGGTGATGGCCATGGCATTGTGCCAGTGAGCGAAAAAAGCGGTGATGATAGAACCGGGATGGGGGCTTTCATGGGCTAGCTGCTTGGATTCGGGAGCCACCCCTACTTCCAGAAACCTGACACACCTCCTCCCCAGGCCCCATGGTCTACGCCATCTGTTATTGCCCCCTGTCCCGGCTGGCAGATCTGGAGGCCCTGAAAGTAGCAGGTAAGCCTGGGGTGTCGGGGGAGTATGTCTTGGGAGGTGGTTCCAGGGTATATGCAGGTTCAAGTGAGAACTGGAGGAGGAGGGCAGGAGCTGAGAGAACCAGGAACTTTCTCTCCCAACTCTCCTCCTAGACTCAAAGACTCTGTCGGAGAGCGAGCGGGACCGGCTCTTTGTGAAAATGGAAGAGGACAAGGACTTTGTGGGCTGGGCGCTGGACGTGCTGTCTCCAAACCTCATCTCTACCAGCATGCTTGGGCGGTGAGGGGTCCCCCCACCCCTGGAGTGGCCGGGATGGAGGTGCAGCCAGCTCTCTGGGGGAGGTAGAGAGCATGGGCAGGTTTGGCTCTGTGGCTGGAATAGGGTTAACGAGGCTTTGCTCCTGCACCTCAGGGTCAAATACAACCTGAACTCCCTGTCCCATGATACGGCTGCTGGGCTGGTGCAGTACGCCTTGGATCAGGGCGTGAAAGTCACCCAGGTGAGCCTAAGTGTTCTGGTACTTGGATTGCACCCATTTGATCACCTCTGGATAAAATAGGGGTGAAAAAGTACAGTGGGCAGGTTCAGCATCAGGCATGGCAAGTGCCTCACCAATGTTCGTTGCTGCTGTTGGTTTTCTACTCCTGTTTCTGCCTGAAATGTGTGTCCCACCAAGGACCAGTGTGGTGCCCCCAGTCCCCCCCTCCAATCTAATCTGTCTTCCTAAAGACTCAGCGTTCAGAACAAACCCCACATCTGTCTACCTGCCCACAGCCTCCATCCTAGCCCAGGACACCCTCACCTGGACTCCTGCCCCAGCCTCCTCCCTGGCCCCCCACCTCCACCCCTCTTCCCCTTTCTGTCTGACATTTAATTTGCTAATTACAGGGTTAAATCAGGAAAATTCACAGTTGAGTAGGAGAGAGATTAAATTACCACAGAGAAGCATAAGTCAGCATTGCATTGAGTGCACTGAGGCAAAGAACAGGCTGTTTTTTTTTTTTTGTTGTTGTTGGCTTGTTTATTGTTGTAGTTTAAGTGACAGTTTACATTTCAAGTTAGTCTCTCACAAAATTTATACATACATTGTTATGTGACCCTAATTGCTCTCCCTATACTGTGACAGCACACTCCTCCTTTCCACCCCTAATTCCCCATGTCCATTCAGCCAGCTCCTAACTCTCTGCCTTCTCATCTCACCTCTGAACAGAAGCCGCCCATTTAGTCTCATGCATCTACTTGAGCTAAGAAGCACACTCTTCACGAGTATCATCTTATGTCCCACAGTCCAGTCCAATCTTTGTCTGAAGAGTTGGCCTCCGGAATTGTTTTAGTTCAGAACAGGCTGTTTTGAGATAATAACAAGGGGGAATACTTGAGGTAGGGAAGGTAACGGGAGGCCTCCCTTAGGAGACAGCTGAGGCCCACCCACAGCAGGAGGAGCTGGCAAGGCAGCCCTGGAGCAGACAGACGTAGGCTCTGCCCTCGGGTTCAGGGCCTGGTCAGAGGAGATGGACGATCAGCTGGTAAACTAAAGAATAAAGGTGACTTCTGAGAATGGCAACTGCCACAAAGACACCACTTGCCCCTGTTACCTTCCTGATCTTATTTCTCAGCATTCTGCTCCAGCCATGTGGCCTCCTACTGTTCTCCAGCATATTTGATGTGGTCCCACCTCAGGGCCTTTGCACTGGTGGTTTCCTCTGCTTAAAGCAGTCTTTCCCAGACCTCTGCACATCTCATTTGCTCACCTCCTTCAGATGTTTATTGAAATGTCACTACCTTAGAGAGGCCTTCCTTGAACCTCCCTTGCTGCCATTTGAAGTTATAACCCCTTCCAACTCTCCCCTAGGCTTTATTATTTATCCTGTTTCTTGTCTGTGACCCTCACCAGGTGTCTGCTCCTCAAGGGAGGGATTTTTATCTGCCATGTCCCTGGCACCTAGAATAGCACCTGGCACACAGTGTGTGCCCAATAAATGTAGAAGGGATGGATGGATACAGATGACAGGGTGATCAGGGGAAGCCTCTCTGGGAGGTGACGTTTGATCCAAGACCCCTGATATGAATTGATAAGAAAGATCCAGTGTGGGGATGAGCTGGAAGAACAGTATTCTGGTACTACACAACGATAAAGAACAACAATGAAGCCATGAAACACCTTATGACGTGGAGGAATTTGGGGGCATTATGCTGAGTGAATTTAGTCAGTCTCAGAAGGACAAATATTGTATAAGACCACTATTATAAGAACTCAAGAAAAGGTTTAAACAGAGGAAAACATTCTTTGATGGTTACAAGGGTGGGAAGGGAGAGTGAGGGTTATTCACTAAATAGTAGACAAGTATTATCTTAGGTGAAGGGAAGGACAGCACACACTACAGGGGAAGTCAGCACAACGAGACTAAACCAAACCTAAGAAGTTTCCTGAATACAAACACTTTGAGGGACAGAGTAGCAGGGGTAGAGGTCTACGGACCATGCTTTCAGGGAACATCTAGGCCAATTGGCATAACAAAGCTTATTAAGAAAGTGTTGTGCATCCTACTTTGGTGAGTGGCATCTGGGGTCTTAAAAGCTTGCAAGCAGCCATCTAAGATGCATCAATTGGTCCCAGCCACCTGGAGTAAAGGAGAATGAACACCAAAGACACAAGGAAAGTAGTAGCCCAGGAGACAGAAAGGGCCACATAAACCAGAGACTTCATCAGCCTGAGACCAGAAGAACTAGGTGGTGCCCGGCTACCACCAATGACCGCCCTGACAGGGAACACAACAGAGAATCCCTGATGGAGCAGGAGAAAGGTGGGGTGCAGAACTCAAATTCTAGTAAGAAGACCAGACTTAGTGGTCTGAATGAGACTGGAAGAACCCTGGAAAGCATGGCCCCTGGATTCTCTGTCAGCCCAATAATAAAACAATTTCCGAGGCCAACTCTTCAGACAGGGATTAGACTGGACTGTGGGATGTAAAGTGATACTTGTGAGGAGTGTGCCTCCTAGCTCAAGTAGATGCAAGAGACTAAATGGGCAGCTTCTATCCAGAGGTAAGATGGGAAGGCAGAGAGGGTTAGGAGCCGGTTGAATGGACATGGGGAATCCGAGGTGGAAAGGAGGAGTGTGCTGTCACAGTATGGGGAGAGCAATTAGGATCACATGACAATGTATGTATAAATTTTTGTATGAGAGACTAACTTGAAATATAAACTTGAACTACAACAATAAACAACAAAGGTATTCTGGGCAGCAGGAACAGAAATGCAAAGGCTGTGAGGCTGGATAATTTGCACAGTTTTTCGGGGTGTTGACTGAATACACACCTGTCACTGTGACAGGTATTTGTGGACACTGTGGGGCTACCAGAGAAGTACCAGGAGCGGCTGCAGCAGTGCTTTCCTGGGATTGAGGTGACGGTGAAGGCCAAGGCGGATGCCTTGTACCCCGTAGTCAGCGCTGCCAGCATCTGTGCCAAGGTCAGTCCCCACTGGGCTTGGGCTGGCTCCCAGCACCCCCTTGGGCAGAGAGTGGTGCTGGTTGTTGTGGGGGAGGGAAATTCCAAGTGCCTGTCCTGTCCACAGGTGGCCCGAGATCAGGCAGTGAAGAACTGGCAGTTTGTGGAGAAACTGCAGGACGTGGATGCTGATTATGGTTCGGGCTACCCTAATGGTGAGCAGACAGTGGTGCAGCCTGCCTCTGGAGTTGCCCCAGGACAGCACCAGCAGCACTAATGCTAAATTGGCCAGGGCTAAGTGTGCTTCTAAGGTTTTCTGAACTATTCTGGTAATCCCACTTCACAGCAGAAGAGGCTGAGGCCCAGAGATGGACACCACTTGCCCACAGCCACGCAGCCAGTGTGCAGCAGAGCTGGCCCTCCTCCCACTTTGCTGTCTCTTTGGAGCCCCAGTGAAGGGCTGAGACCCAAAGTGGGCGCCTGTTCACCCATTAAGGGAAGGGAATATTGGCTCTTGTTTAACGGCTGTTGCTTGAATCCTGGCTCCACCATTTTCTTCCAACTCTGAGGCTCAGTCTTCTCATCCATGAAGTGAGGATGATCATGCCCCCCACACACAAGAGCAGATAAGAAGATTCAGTGTCTGGGTTCAGGGAATCTTCCCATCCTTCTCTGAGGCCCAGAAAGGGGCTGGCGGTGGAATGCGGCACCACAGCCAGTCTGTGATTGGAACTTGGGTGAGAGGCTAAAGTGAGGAAATCACCTAGTTTGGGCATCCGTTCTGCACTTTTGAGCACCTGGTGCATACCATGCAAGGCTGAGCCCTGGGGGTGGAGCAATGAGCAAGACAAACAAGGACCTCCGTACCCCCACTAAGCTCATTATTAGTTGCAGAGCTAGGTCAACAAATATTGATTTAATTACTGTTGTCCTTGGGAGGTCAGGGAGATCTCTTAGAGGCAGTCTCCCTAAATTGCCATTTAAGCAACTGTTGGCAGGTGGTGAGTGGAGGGTCCTGTGCAAAGGCAGAAAGATACTCAGTGGAAGGTGACTCAGGTGTGCAGAAGGAGCCTAAAATGAGGTGGTGGAACCTCAGATGCCAGGCTGAGGAGCTTGGACATTATGGTGCAGCTCAGGGACCATTGCCCACCCCATCCACCAGATCCCAAGACAAAAGCGTGGTTGAGGAAGCACGTGGAGCCCGTGTTCGGCTTTCCCCAGTTTGTCCGGTTCAGCTGGCGCACAGCCCAGAGCATCCTGGAGAAGGAGGCAGAGGGTGTTACGTGGTGAGTGCCCTGGTGGTGCTGTGGAATGGAGGGAGGAGAGAGCTCAGCCCTGATGGGGAGGGCTGGCTTCCCCTGAAAGGGGTCAGTATTGTCACCTCTCTCCCACAGGGAGGACTCCTCGGCAGAGGATCAGGAGGGACTTGGGAAGATCACTTCCTACTTCCTCAGTGAAGGCCCTCGTCCCCGTCTTCCCCACCGATACTTCCAGGAGCGCGGCCTGGAGTCAGCCACCACCCTCTAAGAGCCAGGTGGTCCCCCCTTTACCTACCCCCTCCCTCTTCAGCTTGTGATTAAAACAGCTAAAGAAAGCCAAGAGTAGGGTTTGTACTTTGGCATGGAGGGGGGTGGTGTGCATGCTCTGTGGCTGGACCCAGATACTACCTTTGGGAAGCTGAACAGGGTAGGCGTTGCTTGATTGATTTTATTTTACTTTTAAAATATGCAACATATTTGTATGCTTCAAAATGAGAAAGGAGCACATTGAGAAGCTTCGCAGCCACTCTGCCCCTGGCTCACTGTGGGCTTGCTGGTGGCTGTGGGTCCTGCAGAGATAGTGTAGCATGTTACAAACATGTCCAGATGCACTCTCTTCCTGAAGTTTGTTTTTTTTACACAAATGGAAGTAAACTATGCCCCAAATTGTGCATATTACTCTTTTTGCCAAATATAACTTGGCAATAATTCCAAATGGTTGTTCAAAGACCTTGCTCATCCCTGTTAGACCACAGAGTCCTCTGTTAGAAGTGCAAAGTCCGGGGCCCACACTAGACTTGCTGAAGATCCATTCCCAGGGTCTCGTTTAAAATGAGGTTGTCAACAACCCTGCCTCGTGAGGATTTTCAAAGGGTCACAAACCCACAGCTCTGTGGGTATGCCTCTGAATCCCGCTGGAATTCATTCCCTCCTGCTTGCTCTCTGCACCCTGCCTAGCACCCTCATTGGTGCCACTCATCTCCAGTCACTCCTTTCCCCACCCTGTCTCCAAGTGGCAGGCAAGAGTGTCAGCCTGATGGGCCCTCCCATGCTTAAGCCTTCCATGGTCCTCACCCCTTATCGGGTTCAAGTGCCTTTGCTTGGCATTCAAGGCCTTCCGTGATCTGACCTCACTTCCCATGCTCTGCTCCAGGCATGCTGACCAGCTCAGAGTCCCTTGTTAGATGCCGTTGAATCGGTTCCGACTCATAGCTACCCTATGTACAACAGAATGAAACACTGCCCGGTCCTGTGCCATCCTCATGATGGTTGCTATGCTTGAGCCCGTTGTTGCAGCCACTGTGTCAATCCATCTCGTTGAGGGTCTTCCTCTTTTTCAATGATCCTCTAATCTATCAAGCATGATATCCTTCTCCAGGGACTGATCCCTCCTGATAACATGTCCAAAGTATATGAGACAAAGTTTCACCATCCTTGCTTTTAAGGAGCATTCTGGCTGTACTTCCAAGACAGATTTGTTCATTCTTTTGGCAGTGCATGGTATATTCAATATTCGCCAACACCATAATTCAAATGCATCAATTCTTCAGTCTTCCTTATTCATTGTCCAGCTTTTGCATGCCTATGAGGCGATTAAAAAAACACCAGGGCTTGGGTCAGGCGCACCTTAGTCCTCAAAGGGACATCTTTGCTTTCTAGCCTCCAGGCCTTTGCAGGCAGACTGCTCACAATGCCCTTCCCCACAACTTGACCTGCCTAGAAATCCTTCCTTATTCTCTTGTTACAATAACACAGTAACAACACCAAAAATAAGTGATGGCTACATTTATGTGTTAATTATGTGACAGGCAAAGTCTAAGCATTTTCTAAGCATTTTATTTGCCATTCTTCCCATTAGGTGAGTCTGTGTCCCTTTCCCTTGAATATGAGCTGGCATTAGTGGCTCACTTTCGTGAATAGAGAACAACAGAAGTGACATTGTGTGACTTCAAGGCTAGGCCATCACAAGTGAGCCAATTTCCATCTGGGAAGTGTTCCTTGGGGCACCTATCCTAGGTACTCAGCTGCCATGCTGTGAGGAAGCCCAGGCCACGTGGAGAGACGAGTAGCTATCCTGGCCAGCAGCCCTAGCTGAGGTTTAAGGCAACAGCCAGCATTAACTGCCAGATAGGGGAGTGAGGAAGTCTTTGAGATGACACCAGCCCCAGCCACTGTCTGCAATTGCATGAGAGAACTCAAGCAAGAACCACTGAAGTGAGCCCAGTGAACCCTCAGAACCATGAAAGATAACGATAGTTGTTTTGTATCACTGAGTTTAGAGATGTTACACAGCAATGATAACCGGAACAACTTGCACTGGCTAATTTAATCCTCCCAACAACCTTGTGAGAAGAACAATTGTTATCTACTTTTTACAGATGAGGAAACTGAGGCTCAGAAAGGCTGAACAACATGCCCAAAGTTACAGCATGAGTAAATGGTAGAACTGAACCCAGGTAAATGTACAGTACTTAGAGCCGGGATAGTAGCCACCATTTTCTGTAGTCCACGTAGCTTGATCCCCTGGCCAGTACCCCTCCCACTTCTAGTTCTAGCACCTGGTCTTTGGGGGACCACCCTTCTCCATTCTCAGTCCATGTGGTTCAGATGGACCTGGGCCTACCATGGGCCTTTAGGTATGAGCCCATAACCCAGATCTGGCCAATCAGAGCACAGCATCCTTCTGGTGATAGTGATTGGTTCAGTAATGAGCTCATGACCCAACTGGAGCAATGCTAGCTTTACAAAGAACTAGGCACGCTTTCTACCACCCGTCAGTCAGTTTGTTGTACTGTGGTGGCTTGTGTGTTGCTACAATGCTGGAAGCTATGCCACTGGTATTCAAACACCAACAGGGTCACCCATGGTGGACTGGTTTCAGCGGAGCTTCCAGATTAAAACAAACTAGGAAGAAAGGCTTGGTCACCTACTTCTGAAAATTAGCCATTGAAAAGCCTGTGGATCACAACAGAATATTGTCCAACATAGTACTGGAAGATGAGCCCCCTAGGTTGGAAGGCACTCAAAATACACAATGGCTGCAAAAATAGACTTGAGCATACCAACGACTGTGAAGATGGTGCAGGACTGGGTAATGTTTCTGTTGTACACAGGGTCGCCATGGGTTGAGCCGACTGGATGGCAACAACAGGCACACTTTAGCCGCTGGAAACATGGAGTTGCTAGTCCATTTTTGCTGTTAGGAGATCCTGTCCCCGAGTATAACCAAGAGAAAGAAAGAACATCCTAACATTTAAGTGCCTAGATACAGCCGTTCCTGAAGCCATACTTAGGGTTTTTTTTTTTTTTTTAGTCACTGTTTTGGATCAGGGCACTTTGAGATGAGTTTGTCTCTTGAAGCTAAAAGAGGACTGTCTGCTAGGCTTCCAGCAGGCCCTTCTCTGCTTATACTATTTCATCTTCCCTAAGGGCAGGGAATGGGGACATTGCCCCTGTCTTACAGGTGAGGAAACTGAGTCTCCCCAAGGGCCTATGGCTAAGGAGGAACATTAGGAGTAGTGTTTGAAACCCAAATTCTGAATCTGAGTCCAGTACTTTGCCTTAGGTCAGGGACTGGGATATGGGGCAGGGGAGGAAAGGGGCGTTAGGCCAGACATCACCAGACCTCCCTAATCACAGGGGATAGCCATGAAAGATGTTCTGAGGTCAGGGATCTTCACAGTGGGCCCTCTTTTGATACCCGCCGCCATTTGTGACACCTGGTTATTCCCAGTTATGACAAATGCTTAGGGTGTAGGACAACCATCATTTACACTTGAGTGCGAATCAGTTCTAACCCTAGAACCTGAGAATTAGGAATGAAGCATCTGTTAATTTCTGGCAGCCCTCCTTCCCACCTATTTCTCCAAGAAGCAGCCACATCAGGTGCTCTGGCTAGCGACTTTATTCAGGAGGGAGAGGGGAAAATGAGCGAGAGTTGGGTTGTTTCTTGGGTAACCAGGAACGGGGGGAGTCTCTGGGCCTAAAGGAGGAAGGACAGGACTGGGGAATCTGGAAGGCAGGGAGGGAGAGGGGTGAGGCTCTGGGTGTCTTGAGGGGGCTGGATGGGGGCGGGGGGAAGAGACGCATGTCCCACCCAAGACCAGGCGCCCCCTAGGGGCCGCTGCCGCTTCCACTGCCGCTCCCACTGCTTGGAGCGTCCAGGATCAGCGAGATGCGAGGGCGCCAGGGGCGCGGGGAGGTGGCTTCCCGGGCCCGCCGCCTGGGCTTGGGACGCGGCAGCACCGAGACAGAGAAGTTGAGGCAGTGACGGGACCCAGGAGCTGCCAACGGCAGGGTGTGACCCAGAACAGAGCGGCAAAGGTCTGCGCCGTCCGCGAAGGTCTGGGAGAAAGGGTGGAGTTAGAGCCTGAGTGGTTGGAGTTCAGGTATCCTGGGGGCGGAGGCTTCCAGAGCGCAGGCTCGAGGCGTGGCCAGGAATTTGGCCTTGGAAAGTCCGGTACTTCCACTGGGGGAAGGGGCCAAGGCGGGGATGGGACCTTGGGGCGAGCAACTCAGTCTTCGGGAGGCTGTGGGCGGGACTAGGGTGGGGCTGGGAGTTGGGAAAGGTGAGTTGTTCTTGATAGGTACCAGGGGGTGTAGGGGAGAGGTCGAGATCAGGAGTGGGGTCTTGGGAGGGTTCTGGCCTCTGTGTCCTCCTGGGGACACTATGAACTAGATCCAGGCAGAGTTGGTTCTTTGGAGAGGACAAATCCAGACTCACTGGGCCCTGGGCAGGGTATGGGCGCCTCCTGCTATGGCGATTGGGTTTTGGGAGGGGGTAGAGTGGGGAAAGAGCCTTGGGAGCGCCAATCTGGATTCTGAGACTGCAGCAGGTTAGGGCAGGACCTGGCCAGGGGAGTCTCAGTCTCCTCCTCGGGCCTCTGTCCCATGCTCACCTGCGCATAGGTACGGCAGCCGGGCTCACAGCTCCTCTCTGGGAGTGAGAGCCAAGTCGGGCCGCAGGTGATATCAGCTTCACAGGTGGTGAACCTGGGGATCGTGTTTGGAGAGAGGAAAGTGAGAAGGAGCTCCTCAGCCACGTTCTAGTAGAAGTCCTGCTCCCAAGGCCTCGCCCCATGTATGCCCTTCCCTGAGAACCACTCGCCTACAAGCCTATATCCCTTCAGATTTCATCTCACCCCCTATACTATCAACTCTTTCCACCCATGCCCAGGGCCTTGTCACAACTGGCCCCACACCTGAAGATCTAACACCATTCTTTCCAGGTCAGTCCCTTATACTCCCCATCCTTTTAGCTTCTGGAAACCCTGGTGGTGTAGTGGTTAAGAGCTATAGCTGCTAACCAAAAGGTCGGCAGTTCAAATCTACCAGGTGCTTCTTGGAAACCCTGTGAAGCAGTTCTACTCTTTAGGGTCACTATTTGTCGGAATCGACCCGATGGCAATGGGTTTGGCTTTGGTTTTGGTTTTAGCTTCTCTTTTCAATTAAGAGGCCCCGCCGCTTAAGAAACCAAGCCCATAAAGGCCATGCCTCCATACAGCTCTTAAGCTGGGGGCTCCATGGCCCCGCCCCTGTTTTAAACCTAAAACCTTGGCCTTGTTCTAGTAAGGCCACACACCTTCCAACACAGGGTCGAGCTAACAACAGACCCTGCCCTTTGGCCCACCCCAACCACAGGCCCCACCCTTCCTACCAGCCCTCGCAGAGCTCCGCGCAGAGCGGCAGGAGGAAGTGACTCCGGAGGGCATCCTGGAGGTGTTCCAGGAAGGATTTGCACCTGAGCATTGTGAGAGACAGGCCCAGATGGGTCAGGGACCGAAAGGGCTTCTGGCCCCTGACAGGGGTAACTCGAGGAAATGCAAGAGGGTGCTGTACTTACCTGGGGCTCAGCGCCCCACAGCGCTCTGGGACGGTTCCAGGGCCAGACGCCTCTGGTGTATCTATCTCTGAGGGACAACAGGGTCCTGGTGAAAGAGAGACCCGTGAGCCAAGGTCTTGGGTCCTGAGGTAGGGGTGGAGAAACATGGCCTGGGAGGGTCCCCTGAACAGGGGAAACCCCCGTCTACATCAGTTCTCCCAAACATAAAACTTAAGTGAAGACATTTTTTTGGTATGCAAATGCAGCTTCAAGTAATTACAATCACTTACAGCTATCAACTTATTTATCATCATGCCTGGTAGTGGTTGTTGTAGTTAGGTGCCAGGATGAGTCGGTTCCAACTCATAGAGGCCCTATAGGACAGGGTAGAACTGCCCCATAGGGTTTCCAGGGAGCAGCTAGTGGATTTGAACTGCCAACCTTTTGATTAGTAGCCGAGCTCTTAACCACTATGCCACCAGGGCCCCCTGGTAGTGGTATAAGTGTGCATATGTTTAATCTTCACAACGTCTTATGAGATAGGTCTGTTATTTCTCCTCTTTTTTAATGGGCTATGAGAGACCCAGAGAGGTTAAGTGACTTTCCCAGGGTCACACAGCTAGGAAGTGGCAGAGATTAGATTTCAAACTAGACAGTCGGGCTCCAGAGTCTGTGCTCTTAACCACCACTCTTCAGCACAAGCCCCCACCACCCACCATAGTGGCCACTCTAAGCCCCTTTCATAAGGAAATTCTGGAATTGCCATGGTGGGGTGGGGGTTCCTGGATGTTGGGGGTTAGGCAGGGTCTGAGGCACTCACCTGCCAGGTGCAGCTGGCCTGTGCCCAGATTGGCTGCCAGCCTGTGATGTCCCCAAGGCCTAGCTCGGATCGGAGGACTCCCTCCACAGGCCCCAAGCAGGGTGCATGCCAGGGTCAATCGAAGGGGCCAGGCCATGCCGCTGGGTCGAGTGTGGCCCCTGCAGACCATGTCCACCTGAGATAAGAGCCAGCTGGGGTGGGGGGTATTAGGCTGTCTCTTTCTGGGAGCTCAGGGTGGCACCCTCCCGATGTACAGCCAGGAGACAGTGCCAGGCAGAGTAGAGGTTGCAAAGCTCATTAGGAGGCTTCACAATGGCAGGGGCCCTTCAAATCCCAGGGGGCACCAGGGTCTGCCTCTGACCCAAGAGCCCCTCCCCCATAAGATCCATCTGTTCAGACCCAGGCCACCCCACTCCCCATCGCTCTGCTTAGACTATAGTGCTCCACCCCCCTCAGACCCAGTGGGATCTCCCACCCTCTCAGACCTCAGGCGTCCCCTCCCTTAGAACCAAGAGGAATCTCTCCAGCTCTTACAACACTCTGCCTCCTTCCAGTAATTCCTCCTTCATCTCTGCCCAGCCTCCTCCCTCTCTCTTGATTCCTGTTGTCCCTTCTCAGGGTCACCTTCTCTCAGCCCACAATCGGCTTAGGGACTGCCACCCAGGGTTGGGTCTTTGGGGCCAAGCAAGGCAGTGCCAAGACTTGGGTTCTGTCGCTGAAGTCCAAAAGCCCCAGAGACAGGGGAACCTGGGGGCCTGTGGAGACAAAACGATCCCCTTCCCTGTCCCTCCTCCCCAATCTGGCTCTCACCTGTTAGAGACTGAAGTCTATGAGTGGCTGAGACACCTCAGGGTCAAGTCTAGGAAACACTGGTAGTTAAAAGGGGAGTGGTTTGTTGCAGGGGCAGGACTTTCCACTGCTCTGCCCTCTCCTCCAGCTGACTAAAGGTCCAGGGACCTAGGGCAAGTGTGTATGTATCTGTATTTATGCCCTTATGTTAATGCTTGTGGTCTAAGCTGTGTATGTGTAGGGAATGTGTGTGTGTTTGGTGAGGGTGCAATTGTGTGGCATGTGTGTATTTGGTGCACCTGTGTGTCTCTTGGTTTTATGGCTATGTGTGTGTGTGGAGCATTTATGTACGTGGTTGTTGGGTGAGTTGTTTATGTGTGTCTCTTGGTCAGGTGGTTGTGTGTGTGTTCAGAATCTGGGCAGAGGTGCCTGTATGTGTCCCAAGCTAAGTGTGTGCAGTTGATTAAGAATCAGGAAATAAATAGGAGGCGGGAATGTAGGATCAGTGTGGGTGTCCCTATGAAAATGTTGTGGGTAAGTCAATGGATAAAGGTTGTCGCCCATGAGTGAACAAGGGGGCGTGGTCACGTGCTGAACAGGGTGTGTGGCTGCACCTGAAACATGAAGGTATGTATCCGTGTCCTGCAGTTTCTGTGAATGTGTGTCCCTTGTGAACATTCCCTCAATGTATCCATTCATTCAGTGAACATTTATTGAGCACCTACTGTGTGCCAGGTCTGAGGATGCAGCGGTGAGCAAAACATGCAAAGCTAAACCCTCTAAGAGCTGACATAGTGAGGGAGTCAGACAAGAGAGACAGCCCAGCCCTGGAGATGTGGGTGTGCGTGTGTGCTCACGTGTTGGGTTGTAGGAATAATGTGTCTGTGTGTAAAGTAAGGGTTTGTCTGTGTGCAGCTGGGCGTCTCTTGGTTCTGGAACTATGTGTGTGTGTTTGTGTCTGCATTTGTTGAGTGTGTGTATCTACATGTTTGCTAAGTGTGTGTTTGTATGTGGGTGTTTGTGGAGTGTTAGTTTTTTATGTGTGTATATGTTTGTGTTTGTGTTTGCTGAATGTGTGTTTGCATGTGTGCTTTCAGAGTATGTCTGTGTGTATCTGTGTTTGCTGAGTGTGTATTTGCACAATGTGTACATGTGCTTGTGTGAGTCTGTGTTTCCTGAGTATGTGTATGTTTGTGTGCCTGTGCTTGCAGTGTGTTTGTGAGGATTGATTGCCACCATGAGTCTGTCTCCCTCCTACTAGGGTAGGACAGTATTTCTGTCTGTCTCTTTCACTGCTGTACTCCTAGCGCCCAGAACACTACCTTACATGCAGTGGGTGAGCAATAAGTGTTGAGTCAATGAAAGAATCAGGAGACTCTGTCTTCTAACCAGTCTGTAGGCCCCCAGTGATGTCCTGGAGGCCCAGATTTCTTAGCCTGCTGCATGTTGGGGGTGGTCTAGGGTGCTCATGGGTCCGACCAGTCCAGCCTCGGAGCTGTACCTCCCACCAGACGCTACGTATCCCTTCCCCTCCCTTGACCTCACCCCCAACCCTGAACTCGGATTTCAGCACCACGGACAGGAGCAAGAGAGATCAGCACCAGGGAGAGCTCCCGTGGCTGCCAGTTTGAGATGAAGCCACAAGAGGGAAGTCCCGACCATGGACAGAGAACGGTGAAAGGAATGAATTTAGGGAGACAATAACCAGACATGCCGACAGACATGAGACACAGACAGAGGTAACCCAGGCACAGGCGCAAAGGGTCAGATACGGAGATGGATTTTGAAATCTCCTAGCGCCCCAGGGACACGCGGAGAGGGACCTCGCCTTCGCAGCTGTCGGTTGGAAGGAATCACTCCGCCCAGTGACCACGCCCTCATGAGCCTTGGGACCAGCTAGGGGCCAGGACTCCTGGGAAGCCCCTCCCTACCTTGCCCTCAATGCCCAGATCTGAAGTGGGGAGATCTCGGACGCTCCCCTCTCCAACTCCGCGAAGCATGGGGCATTTGGCCTCAGCTGTAGGAAACCGGGGGGGGGGAGGCGGGGAGGGAGAGGCTTCAGCTGCCCCTCTCCCCAGCTACCAGCTAATCACTCCTATAAATATGGCTTCCCTGGCCTGGCTCCTCAATTCTGACGGTGAGGGAGGAGGTTGCTAGATGCAGGGTTCCCTGAGGAGCACTTCGCTTGGGAGAGGCTGCGCGCTGGAGGAGTATATTCGTGTAAACGTTTTTCTGAAGGGGCATCACCATGGGAATATTTCCCAGGATCTCTCCCGTAAGGATGGGTCTCCCCAGTGAAAATGTTGCTCTGCGAGAATGTCTCTCCTTGAGGCATATGGGGGGTCTCTTGTGTGGGGACAATTTCCTACCGAAAATACGGCTTTTAGGGGGGGGTCTCTCATTGGGATGATAAAATGTCACCTGGGGGTATGTTTCATGGCCAGAATGTCTCTTCCTGGGGGGAAGGGGATTTTGAGAGGAAGCGTCATCTCTCAGGGATCATCTCTCTTGGGAATGATTTCCAGGGTCTGTGAGATTTCTTCACTGGAGAGGACCTCCCTGTGGTGATCATCTCCCTGTAGGAATGTGGCTCCCTAGAGGGGTCGCTGGGAGGGGGTGTCCTCATAGGGAATGTATCTCAGTGGAAATGTCTCCCCTGGGGAATTTCTTGGGCTGAGGGTCTATTCATGAGACTGTCTCTCCCGTAGGATGCCTTTTCTCCTAGGGGGTCTCTCCATGGCCTGTCTCCCTCGTGGATATCTGGAGGCCCCTCCCCCCGGCTCGGGCAGCGGTGGCCGAGGCCCGGCTTGGGCGCCCAGACGCAGTGACGGCGCCAGGCCCGCCCTGCTTCGCTCCTCCCCCGCCCCCCAGCCGCCGCCGCCGCCGCCGCCGCCGCCATGGACGATTCCGGCTTGATCCGCCGCCGGAGGCTGCAGGTACGCGGCGTTCCCGGCCCGGGGGAGAGGAAGGGGTCGGCGCACCGGGGCGGGGCCGGGCAGGGGCCGCGGAACTTGCACCAGGGTCGGCCCAGGCGACTCCTCTCACTGCCTAGCAATGCTGCCCGCGGGGAACGCTGTGGCCGCGCGTCCCGCCGCGCTGGGGACCCCGCCCCTCAGGCGCCGCCCGGAGCTCCGGGGATCTGACAGAGGGGATGCAACCGAGCGCTCCCCCTCGAGGATAGCCTGAGGGGCGACTGGCTTACTGGAGGGGGAGGGGGCTGTAACCGAAGTCAGCGCTCTGGAGCCCCGCCAGTCTGGGAGGGGGGCGCAAAGCAAAGTTATTGCCCCAGGGCTCGCGCCCCTCGGGACCGCCCGCGCCGCGGCGGCCGTAAACATGTTTGTGCGGCAGCCTCACCCCTTACCACCTCAGGAGCCCCTTTCAGAGGCGTGGGAATCTCCTCCGCCCTCCATGCACCCTGCCTCCCCCCCCGAATTCTTCCTACTGCCCTAATTGGACTGGCACCTAGGCAGCCTCCCCACTCTTCGTTCCACCTCCACCCCACTCCGCCCCCCGCCCCTCGCTATCCTCAAGTCCAGCCCAGCTTGTGGGTGGGCGGGAGCGATTTTTAGCTCCTTGCAGACTTAGAAGATGCCGGTCGCTGCTGCGCAGGCGCGGGAGGCGTGGGTCCAATGCGCGGAGTGGGAAACTGAGGACTGTTGTGGAGTATGGGAAAGGCGGGGCAAACCCGGGAGTCAGGAGGTCCCACCTCAAGCTGAGTGGGGATTCTGAAGCTGAGAGAGGTTTTCTGCTCCCATCTTCAGCCGGGGCTTCTGGGGTTAGTATGGGGTCAAGTGTTCCTCAGAAAGGAATTTGGTCCAGACTTCTTACCGAGGCCTGCCAGGGATCTGGCCCTTCTGGGCCGTCTTCGAGCCTAGCCTCGAGTTCTGTACTCTGAGGGGGGCTCAGACAAAGCCAAGCGTGGGCCCAGACTCAGGCTGCACCCCCAGCCTGGAGCGTGCGGAGGGTAGGGGAGGATTCAGGCTCTCATTTAAGGAGACTTGTCCATCTCTGGACTCCCCCAGTTGACCATTCCCTAAGTGTAAAGGGGCCTAGGCTTCGAGGTTGGAGACGAAGGGGAGCTGAACGGCCAGTGCAGCAGGAAAGATGGGGGTCAGACGTTAGGACGGACTTCCCAGGCGTCTGGATGATGGAACCACGCATGGGTTGGAGAGCTGATTAGCTTTTAAACGGAGCCCAGATGGCTTCTTCTCAGAACCTGGGCCCGTCTCAGGTCCTCCTCGGGATTCCTTCCCCCAGGCTGGGCTGGGGAGGGTGGGGAGAGGACGTGTTCTGGGAAAAAGCAGCGAGCTGCGGCAAAACGAACGAGTGCTGCGGCATCCGGAGCCGGGTCTGCGCCGTCTGGTACCCGGAAAGGGACGT